TATATATATATATATATATATTTATATGTACATATCTATATATACATATATGTATCATTATCTATATATATTTATATATATACATTTTTATATTTTATATTATATACATATTTTTAATATCATTTTTAATAGTTTATGTCATTATGATCAATTTTTATGTCAATATTTAAAACAAATATAAGTGCATAATAGAAAGCATATTCATTTGTCGATGAAATAAATGTTATTGTTATTAGCACTTATGTACGCATCATATTTAAAGAATTCTTGCCATTATCGTCATACAATTCGCCAAGTTTAAAAAATTTTAGGATTTTTTCTACTATACAATACGGCCTCTATTGGCCAAAAATGAATCAGTTATAGGTATAATACTTAGTATTTTGTATTATGTAGATATATGTATAGTATTATGTATTGTATTAGTATTGATGTTGTAGGTATAGTACTTCCGCCATCGTTTAAAATAATATTTTTCAGAGTTTTCACACACACATACACACACGCGCGCGCGCGCACACACACAGTTTACTCTATTAAGCTTGTCAAAAGGTTTGTCCTTTCCACTGAAAAAGTGTTGAATACGTATCAATTGCATATGATTACGATTTAAAATATTATTTATAATAATCTAATATATTATTAGGTGTTAAACTTAATTCCTGCCGTTTTTCGTCTCCAAAATTAATTTGTTTCGAAGGGAAGATGAATGAATACCTTAATCAAATTAAATAATTTCCTCCATTTTCTACTTTATTACTAATACTTCTATTTTCTACTTTATTAATAATACTGTATTAATAATACTTTGATTAAGGTATTTCCCTTCGAAACAAATCAATTTTGGAGACGAAAAACGGCAGGTATTAAGTTTAACACCTAATATATTGTATAGAATTATAAATGAAAACAGATCAAAACAGATCTGCAAATTTTTCTCCTTTATCGAAATGAATAAGAATAATTTTTGATGTAAGTTTTTATATCAATATTTAACAGGAACGTAAAGTTATAATTTTCTAATTTTAATTACATTTCCGTGCAACTTTGAATAGTATGAGACACAAAATAAAACATTTCATATTACATATCTTTATTCGGATTTGGATAATTAATTATAAAAGTACGATTAGGGTTTTTCAATTAGTATGCTACAAAGAGTCTTAAAGTATACTGTGAACATTTTAGAGAAAGTAAAAAAAAGCAAAAATGTAGGAATAAATAAAAAAGCAAATGGACGCAAAATAAGAAATGTTAAAAAAATTGTAAAAGTTACCTAAATTATACTATTGTATATTTACTCTCATTGTTTAATAAAATCTTATACCTTATGTTTCTAACGAGTGTTATTAAAGTAAATATTAAGAAAAGGGGAGATACCTCCAGTGACCTTGATATATATTGTTAAGGTCATTATCCTGAATAACCTCCAAGAAGTTTTAGTTGGCGGTCAGTACTCGTTAAAAAGTCATTAACAAAAATAGTTTAAAAAACAACGTTTTATTTTTCCCATAACGTTAAGAACTACAATATTAATATGTATACATACATTACATATTTTTAGTAGCATTTTTAACAATTTATATCATTATAATCAATTTTTATGTTAATACTTAAAACAAATACAAGTGCATAATAGGAAATATATTCATTCGTCGACGAAAGGAATTTTATTGTTATTAGCATTTACGATGTGCGTATTTCAAATAGTCTTGCCATTGTCATTATATAATTCGCCAAGCTTAAATAATTTTAAGATGTAATCTACTACCCAATAACCATGCCTCCACCTAAGCCTGAGCCTCCACCTAAGCCTGAGCCTCCACCTAAGCCTGAGCCTCCACCTAAGATTCCACCTAAGCCTGAGCCTCCACCTAAGATTCCACCTAAGCCTGAACTTCCACCTAAGGTTTCACCTAAGGCTCCACCAAAGCCTGTAACTAAATTACCTAAGAGGCTTCCACTTGTATTGCTTGCATTACCGCCTCCAGAAGCGCAGTTATGTTTGACTTCCTCTAATATATGTTTCACATAGTTTAAATTATTGGGTAAATTATGGGTTAAATTTTTAATACAGTTCATCAAACAATTGAAGACTATCTTCTTCTCACATAAATAAAACTTACTAAGTAATGCGATTATCAATGAATGACATCCTTTTAAAAATTCTATTTTTGTTTTGAATAAACAGCAAATTGAATTAAAAATTGGTGGTATGACTATACTCAGCATTTTCTGCAAACATTCTTCCAGTTTAATTAGGTAAGATCCGGGACAATGTGATAGGCACACACAAATTTGAATAAAAAATTTGTACAAACATTTGTAAAAGTTACAAAGTAGCGGAAGAAATTTCGAACAGAATGTGTTCGATGACTTCAAGATTCCATCATTTATAATCGGTATGGATGTCGTTACACCCAATTCATCTGGTGACTCTGAAAAAATGTTGAATACACATTAATCACACATAATTATGATTTAAAATATCACTAATAATAATCTAGTATACACAATATATGGACTTCCTGATCTAATCAAATCTATAAAGTTTTTTATATATTGAAATGAATAGGAATATATATTATATTATGAATAGGAATAATTTTGACACAAGTCATTATAACATACAATACTTGACGGGAATTTATAAACTTATAATTTTGTTGAGCAGTGAAACGTGTTTATTTAATGATATATCTTGAGAAATTTGACTCGTTATTTAATGTGTCGCCAATTGAAAAAGGTTGAAAAACGCAAGATACATGCCATAATAATGTATATTATTGTTAGTACTCTATTATTATTGTTAGTAACTCTATTATTATTATTATTATTATATATTATTACTATTGCTTTATTTTATGTCTGATTTAAATAGTATATCACGTTGTGAGAGAAAAATCTTGATGAGTTTACAAATGACAATAATTTTTTTACAATATAAATAATATCAATTCTTTTCGCTCGTATAACTTACAACAAATTAATAAATAGTAAAACCCAGGTCAATACATTAAACGAGTTATAGTTAGGTATACTAAATAATATTTATTAATCACAAATTATAATTTTCCGACGATAAATTTCAACAGTACGTTTCGACTGTACTTAGTCCCCATCAGCCGTAGAAATACATAAATACCCAAATATCTAATTATATTAACATATTATGAGGAACATCTCACATTCGAGTTACAATAGATAATATAACAGATTTCTAAGAATCATCTCACCTTCGTGTTACAAAGGACGATATATCGTAACCATATCATATGTAGTCAAACTTGATAAAAATAAATGATGTAGTGAAGAGTCATGATTCCGAACCAATTCATCGGTTAATAAAGAGAAAGGGCAATCAGTATAAATAAATGAATAAATTTCAGTCATATTAATGATGTTGCTTGATGTCAAATCATATAAAAGGTAGTATGTACATCCTTAATAATATTGGAAGAAAAACTAAATAGAATAAATTATCGTCAAAATTGAAACTATAAAGATATTAAACAATTTGTAACTTAAAAACTATCTTTAGCACTTAAAAATATATGGTAAACCGACAATAAATTATAACTTTATGTACGTGTATATATAAAAATTTCATTAGAACAAAAACACAGCGCGAAATATAAATAACAAACGCTTTAAATTTATAATAACAATTAACAAAATTAAATAATTATCAAGGAATAAAGAATAAAGGTTATGCAACACTTACATTAAATACAAATTATACATAATGACAAGTTAGTAGCAGTCTATTAAAATTGTAATATAGAATTTAGAGAGAGAGAGAGAGAGAGAGAGAGAGAGAGAGAGAGAGAGAGAATCGGTTATATTCACTGATTCAAGACCGATCTTAATTGTGAGAGAGTATAAACGCAAATGATACCATCAATGTTGCGCTTAGATAGTTTTAAAATCATCTAGATGGAGATGAGATGGAAATCCGTAAATCCATCTTAGATGAGATGAAGATGGTTTTGATTTGCAAAAATCTAGATGAAAGATGAGATGATTAAGCGATCCATCTAGATTGTTTTTTTAGATGGTTTTGTTTTAAAATAATTATAAACATAAAATGTTGCGCTGATCGGAAAAAGGATATATAAACGTTCACATTTTTATTTATAAGTCTTTATTTTTCAAAAACAAAAGTTTCTCAAAATTTCCATCCGACAAACGGTTACGACGAGGTACATATATTTGTTGTTCTATACTAAACAGCCGCTCTACTGGCGCAGATGATGATAAAGAAGTATTATGTTTAAAAAATATTTTTTTTCATTAGGGAAATTTACGAGGGAACATAAATCCTTTGATTTTGATTCTAAATAGGAAAGCGCTTCTATGCTGCTGCTGATAACTGGTTGCATACTAATAAGATCATTTTTTTTCATAAAATCGCGGAAAAAATCTTCATCTCCGCTGCTGCTTGAAGATGATTTCTTTCTCCTACAGCATTTTTAGCGTGCAAATTATCCATAGTTCACGTTAATCACGTTACGTATACTATACATTTTCAGTACTCGCTGAAAATTGTAAGAAAAAGAAAAATGTCAGCTGAAAATTGTAAGAAACAAACCTATTTATGTCGAATTAAAGTTATCTAAAATTTTTTTTAGATTAGATGGTATATTTTTCTATCTAAGATAAAGATGAAGATGGTTTATATTTGCACTATCTAGATGTAAGATGAGATGTTCCAATTTTCCATCTAGATGACCATCTAAGATGGTTTCATCTAGATGTCGGCAAACACTGGATATCATATATTACATATCATTTGCGTTTATACTCTCTCCAGTTAAAATCGGTCTTGCATCAGTGAATATAACCGATTCTAAATTTTATATTACAATTTTAATAGACTGCTGCTAACTTGCTATTATGTATAATTTGTATTTACCTTCATATTAATGTAAGTGTTGCATAACCTTTATTCTTTATTCCTTGATAATTATTTAATTTTGTTAATTGACGTTATAAATTTAAAGCGTTTGTTATTTATGTTTCGCGTTGTGCTTTTGTTCCAATGAAATTTTTATATATATACGTACATAAAGTTATAATTTATTATCGGTTTACCACATATTTTTAAGTGCTAAAGATAGTTTTAAGTTGCCAACTGTTTAATGTCTTTATAGTTTCAATTTTGACGATAATTTATTCTATATAATATTTAGTTTTTCTACCAATTATTATTAAGGACGTATATACAATTTTTCATATGATTTGACACCAAGCTACCATCATTAATATGACTGGAATTTATTCATTTATTCATACTGACTGCTCTTTCTCGCTATTAACCGATGATTGGTTCGGAATCATGACTCTTCATTACATCGTTTATCTTTATCAAGTTTGACTACATATGATATGGTTGCGATATATCGTCTTTTGTAACACGAAGGTGAAATGATTCTTAGAAATCTGTTATAATATCTATTGGAACTCGAATGTGAGATGTTCCTCATAAAATGTTAATATAATTAGATATTTGGGTATTATTTATGTATTTTTGCGGCTGATGAGGACTAAGTATAGTCGAAACGTACCGTTGAAACTTATCGTCAGAAAATTATAATTTGTGATTAATAAATATTATTTAGTAGGGGAGACCGGGGCTGGTTGTCGTACGGGGTTGATTGTCAAAATGCTTATAACTCAAACAAGACACGGCAGAAAAATCTCTTTTTTGACTGTAGATAGCTGATATAATATTAATTTGTTGTGTTAAGTGGTTTGCACCACAAGCATTGTATATATTATTTATAGCGATTTTTGAGAAAAAATGAAGTTGGTGAGTAGATTTTTATAATCACCTATTTTGTTGTCTGACAAGCCTTTGGCATTATTAATCGTAATATCCCTGTATTCATAGAAAATGACATATCTTAGAAGATCTTTGCTACAATTAAATAATCATTATTCTGACTAAGTT